CCGAACCCTTGGCGGGAGCGCCGCCACGCTCCCAAGCGGCGCGCTCTCCAGTGCGCCACCGGGCCGGCCCGGAAATAAGAGATTTTACTCTTACTGAAACGTAGCTGTCCATCAGCAACATAAATAGATAGCTTTATGATTTTTAGAAACAAATTTGAAATCTTTGTACTACTTGAAGCAACGGAATATTCCTCATGTGCTTTAACTGTCCAAGTTGAATACACACGGTCGTACAACGATCACCATCCTTGGTTTTAGTTCACAAGGGCTCATTTGTCTCGGTTTATTCATTCATCCATATATTCAGTAAACATTTATGGAATGCCAGCTGTGAGCTATAATCATCATGTATGTGCTATTCTTGGCACTGGGAATATAGCAGTAAACAAAACAGACAACCTCTGCCTGTCCTATTAATTTTGAAACTTTCAACTTTTAACATCTACTAAAATTGGGGTGCATCTTTTTTTTTCTTTTAATACTATTAGATCAGGCAATTTGAGGCTCTTTTCTCTCATGAAAGTATAAACATTTGCTGAATGGATGCAGGCCTGCATGTGTGAATAAACGATATTTTAAAGGCATCTGTATGAGTGGCCATGTGCCTGCTTATAGAGATGGCATGTTTGGTTTGGGGGTTTATTTTTTGGTGGCTGGCTGGTAAAGGGATCCAAACCCTTGACCTTGGTGTTAGAAGGTGGCACTCTAACCAACTGAGCTAACCTGCCAGCCCGCTGGGGTGCATTTTAAAATCAATCTTGTGACAGTTTTAATGATATCATTGCTTTCTTTTTGGTGGCATTTAAATAACAATGCATCTTATGGTTGCTGGAGTCTTAGATTCAGAGGCAGTGATGGGGAAATGTGTTTCTTCATATTGTTGGGATTAGGGTTCCCTCAACCCCAGAGGCAAAATAAGTAGGAGTTGTGGATGTTTTGATACTGGGGTGGGTTAGAGTAGAACACTTTACCTTGTCTGAGGTGGTTCCCCTTCTGATGGTGAGAGTAGCTGTCGGATTTGCACAGTTCAAACTTACTGGTATTAACTGTGTCTGCTTTTCTCACTTTCACGTTCACCTCATTTATAACTAAACCTATATCACTGTCAGGAACTTAGCTGTATTGAGGTTAAGAAATTTAGCCCTAAGAAGAAAAGGTAGATCAAGAAGCAACTGTGGAACAAAAGTGCTTCACCTTTCAGAGTTTTGAAAGAAATTAATGAGTATTTCTCTTTCATTTGAAATGCTTCAAAAATTGGTACCTTGTCTTTAACCAACTAAAATCCTAGGCGAAAACAAGTGATTTTTATACATATATTGAAAATAGATGTTTTTTTTTGTTTGTTTGTTTGTTTGTTTTTCCTTTTTGTCTTTTTTCGTGTCCGGCAATGGATCGCAACCCTCAGTGTCGCACCTGTACCGGACCGGGACCAGCAACGGGATCGCAACCCTCGGTGTTGCACCCTCACCTCGCTCAGCCAGTGAGCGGGAACCGGTCTGTATGTGGGATCCGAACCCTTGGCGGGAGCGCCGCCACGCCCTCAAGCGGTGCACTGTAGCAGTGCACCACCGGGCCGGCCCTGAAAATAGATGTTTTAAAAGAGAAAAAAACTTCAACAGACTATGGGTAGAGAAAGTGAGACAGTCATAATAGCATCTACCAGTTGAACAGTACTTTACTCTTACAAATTGCTCCTCACACATGTTTTTGATTTTGACCCTAACCATAAACTTTATAGGTGAGGGAACTAAGGCCTAAAGGTTAGTTAACAGTTCTCTATACTGTGCACTGGTAAGTAGCGACCTGGGGCCTAACCAAGGGTTTGTTTCCACTCTACTTTGTTGCCTCTCCTTCCTACCCACTATCTAGGATCCACTGTTGGAATGTACTGTTTTCCATTACAGAAGCCTCTGTAGCACATCATATTGTACCTTTGCCTGTGGTAGGTCCAANCGGGAGCGCCGCCGCGCTCTCAAGCGGTGCACTGTAGCAGTGCGCCACCGGGCCGGCCCTGAAAATAGATGTTTTAAAAGAGAAAAAAACTTCAACAGACTATGGGTAGAGAAAATGAGACAGTCATAATAGCATCTACCAGTTGAACAGTACTTTACTCTTACAAATTGCTCCTCACACATGTTTTTGATTTTGACCCTAACCATAAACTTTATAGGTGAGGGAACTAAGGCCTAAAGGTTAGTTAACAGTTCTCTATACTGTGCACTGGTAAGTAGCGAGCTGGGGCCTAACCAAGGGTTTGTTTCCACTCTACTTTGTTGCCTCTCCTTCCTACCCACTATCTAGGATCCACTGTCGGAATGTACTATTTTCCATTACAGAAGCCTCTGTAGCACATCATATTGTACCTTTGCCTGTGGTAGGTCCAAAGATATTGGGTATATCACACTATCACTTCCAGTTGCTTAACATACTGGTGCTCTTATGAGAACCATCTGGAGATAAGCATATACTGTGCTATTCTTAAGTAAGAAAAGCCAGAATACAAAATATGCCGCCATTTAGGTCACACACACAAGTATGCTTTTCTGCATTGCATATAACTGGTCTGTAAATGCACTGGAAAGATAAACGTCAGCAGATAACATGTCCCTCTGGGAAGGAGGCAGAGAACTGGGAGGGAGTAAACAAGACATACTCTTGACTATATAACTTTGATGGTAGTCTGTGAATTTCTTGCAATAAAAATGTGTTTTTAGTGGTTAGGGTTCTTTTTTAGTTGCAACTTGACAGAACATCCAAGCCACACTTGTTGTAAAGGGAAAATGAAACACAGCTTTATGCAGGAATGCCAGAACCCAGTTTTTCTCTGCTGTCCCTAGGTTGTCTCCTTCTCAGACAGGCTCCCCTGGTGTGGTGTGCGCAGGTGCACACTGTGTGTTCCCTCCATGGACGGGGGAGAGAGAGAGGCTTTCCTGAAGCCTGAGCAAGAGGCTTCATCTGTTATGGGGTCGATTGTCCATTCTTGAGCCAGTCCTGCGGCCAAGGGAATTCCTGCTGATTTGGCTTAAGCCCAGATTGCTGCTGCCTCCCCTTGGGGTGGAGTGAGCCCCACCAGGCCGTTGCCTCCCTCCCTTGCACTGCCTTGGAAGTGGAGAGCCTTAGAGGGGAGTAACAATTTCTGCTACTTGCAGAAATGAGGGGAATAACAGTGTAGCTACTAGGCAGAAACAAGGAACTCCCAGTACCTGACCTCATGCAGTAAACTGTGTCCTTTAAATCCTCTTCTTGCCTTGAAGCTTATTAATGTTCTGCCTTTCTAGTTACGTAATGAAGGTCTTCTTTTTTTTTTTCCTTTTTGTCTTTCTTACTGACCGGCAACGGGATCGCAACCCTCAGTGTCGTGCCTGCACCTCGCTCAGCCAGTGAGCGGGAACCGGTCTCCACATGGGATCCGAACCCTCGGCGGGAGTGGCGCACTCTCCAGTGCGCCACCGGGCCAGCCCATGAAGGTCTTTTTAAAAAAGAGGAGGGCTGGTTGGTTAGCCGGATTGGTTAGAACACAGCCTTATTACACCAAAGTCATAGGAGATCCCTGAATTGGCCGCCATGAAAAAATAACTAAAATAAGATGAAATGAAAAACAAGAAAGAAAATACCCTATGGTATCACTTTGGTAATCTCATATACTTCTTTTTTTCTTGTTATTAACAAATATTTCAAATATATAAAAAGTGTACTCATTACTCTGCTTCAACATTTACCAATACATGGCATTTTGTCTAATCTGTCCAATTCCTCCTTCCCGCTAGATTCCTGTGAACCAAATCCCAGACATCTCATTTCATTTCCAGAATCTCTGAAAGATAAAGATAACATAACCATCATACCATGATTACACTTTTAAAAGAAAAACAAAACCCTTAATATCATGAAATAGCCAATCAATCCGATTAGTTTTTTCTATTGTCCCATAAATTTTTTTTATGACAAATCAGAATCCAAACAAGACCCACCTACTGCATTTGGTTATTATGTCTGCTAAGACTCTTAAGTTCTGATAGTTCTTATCCAGCTTTCTTTCTTCCATGCAGTTTATATGGGTCATCACCTACCCATTTGCTGAGTTTTGCTGACTGCATTTGGTCATATTTAACATGCTCCTCTGTCCCCTGTATTTCCTGTAAACTAATATTCATAGTTAGATTTGACACAATTTGGTTTTTTTTTTTTTTTACTTTTGCTTTTGTAGGAATACTTAACAGGTTGGTGCTGTGTTAGGTCACCTATTACGTCACCTCCATCATCTAATGCGTTGTTGTCTATGCAAGTTATGATGGATCAATGGGTTTAGGTGTCGTTGGTCTGACCCATCCATTTTAAAGTTCAGTGATCCTTGCCCAGATCCATTAATTCACTAAGGATGTGTGCAGTCTTTAAAAATGATTGAATATAAGCTCAGGTTACTATGACAAAAAAAGTTAGTGTGGATATGACTGCAGTTGGCTTGGTTCTGGTGGAATTTATCATTCATACCATACTTATATTAGCAATATCACAGTCCCCGGGTGTGACTTATTTGTAACAAGAGGGGAGGAAAACCAGTGGACATATAATTTGCCAAACACTTAAAGGAAATGTGCTTTAATAAACTAATTTTACTATAGTTTCTTATATCTTGGTTTTAACTGGGAAACTATCCCAAAAGAATCAATCTGCACAAAAACATCAATATGCAACATATAAAATTGTTAATATAAGAAAGGTCTTTAATAATTTGGAAATCAATACCTATAAAATAGGGTGAGCTCACTATGAATACTCTAAGTAAACTTCAGTCCATCAGCAGGAATCTTTTTGTTGCTTTTTAATCTTGAGGAGTATTGAGATCATGCTCATTCAGATATATACTAACTTCCATTCACCTAGTTTATCCCACTTTGCTGCTCCAAAAGATTTCTGCTAGTATCTCCTAGTAAAACATCAGTAAAGACCATTTGTAACATGCACCAAGACTTGAGGATTCTGTTTGTCCTCTGATGTCATGGTCCTTGGGCTGGGAAACTCAAATAGTGTGCACTTACCTCATCATTTAGTGATTTTCCTGATGTCTCTCAGTAAGTACTTCATGACATCAGGGTCGGCCCAAAGGACACAAGGCTTAGTCACAGATGGTAACAGCAGGCAGAGGCAGAGCAAGGCCAACCATGGGCATGCCACTCCAAACAGGCTGAATTTTGCCCCTGGGATTATAACTCTTTTGGAGAGGGATAATGGGAGGCAGCTGCGTTTGATCTCATAGCAGGATCCTTAAAAGGGTCATTTTTGCAGAAATATTCCAAAGCTGTGCCAGTTTCCCCAGGACCTTTCCTAGTCCTCTGACTTTCAGAGATGCTTTTTGGAGCTCCCCTGCATCCTCTGTCTGGCTGGCTTTCTTTTCCTCGGGAGTGGGTCTGCCAGGAGCTGGGGGCTTGGTATGACTTGAGCAAATCCTGCATCTTTTGTTGAATTACAGTTTTACTTAAGACCAGAAAATGTTAGTGTGCAGAATGAGATGCTAGTTTTAAGCAGGGAGGAGTGTTTGAAGGGGAACAGATTTTATAAATGGCCACTTCATTCATTAATTTTTTGTTGTGATGACATTTGCTTCCTTCTATTGCTCAGTTGATGAGGACCCACCACCACTACCATCCTGCCCTGTAGCTGATAAAGCTGCATATACAGGAGTAATTTTTATGTGTTTATTTTGTAACAATAAGGAAATGTGTGCTTCAAATTTAAATAAGACAAGTGCAGATGAAAAAGAATTAAGATGTATGTTGTATTATTTTCACCAGTTCTATGGCAGTACTAAACTTTAAGAAAGGAAATAAGTAGACTCTCAAATAAGATTTTTGTGTTGCTTTGCCTTCTAGGAGGTTTCAGTCAAGAAGAACTTCTAAAAATATGGAAAGGGCTCTTCTACTGTATGTGGGTACAGGATGAACCCCTTCTACAGGTAATATACAGTTCTCTTTGTAATATTCCTGGGTTTTTGCCACAGATGGATAAAAGACATTTGATCATTTCTACTCCCTTGGTCCCCTAACATACCTACACAAATGGAAAAGCAGTATTTCGAGGAGTCAGTTTCTCACCTCTTGTTCCTAGAAAAGGGATACAGTGTCAAAGCATTTAAGTTGAAGTTTCTGTTTCATCATCTGTTACATTTATTATTTGTGCTCAAAATGGCATGGTAGTAGCACTAGTCTACAGCCCTACAAGACCCAGGCTCCAGGCCTGCCTCTGCCACAGTTTGGTGGGGTATCCAGGACAAGGCCGTGCCTTTCTGGGCTTCAGGTTCTGAATAGAGCCATGGCCAGCCCTCACAGGTAAAGCCTGTTTAAAATTGAATCTCAGTGGAAACTAAAGTGTGCCTGTGAATCTGGATCCCTATCTGCCAAGCGTGCTGAGCCCCACCCCCAAAACTATTTTAGAAAATGACTTTCCCTTTTTAAAAAGCTTCGTTGTGACATGTGATAGCAGATCTGCATTTGTAGAAGTAGAGGAGCAGCCCAGAGGAGCACCACTTGCAGACCTCTGCTGTGTAAGAAGCCTTCGATGGTAGACTTTACCCCTCTGGCTTTTAACGTGCAGCCTGGCTACTTCTCCCAAGCCATGTGATAACTTGTGTTGATTTATTATTTTTACTCTACTGGACATATTTTGAGTAGGATAGCAGGGCAAATATTTTTAGATTACATTCAAAAGTAACAACTGACAGCTTTAGTGGAAGAAGAAAACTGATGAGCAAGAACATCATTTTCAAGTCTGGGAGTTCATTTAAGACGGATGTGGAGAGGAGAGGGTAGGTGAAGTGTGAGTGAGACCAGTGTGGGTCGCTCTTGTCCTGTGGAACCTCATAAACAGAAAGCTGCTGAAACTCTCCAAGGCAGGCTTCTTCATAGGCCCAGACTGCGGAATTCTCCCCAGAAACAAGCCAGCTGCATCTTAGCCAGGCATGCTCTTCAGGTGGCACTTTTGCCTAGGACACAGCCTAGGAGGGTGTATTTAACCTTCTTAACCATTTTGTTCCAATCTGTCTCTGACCAAGCCCAGTAGAGGACTTTCTGATACCATGAATTGAGTCACATGAAGTGAGAATCCCCAGTGTCTTTTGTGTTTCCCATTATTTGGGGGATTATGATAAAATCTCAATTTAAGTTATAGTTTTAAAGGCAGGAATTGACAGCTAATTTATTTCTTCTATAAATCATTTGAACTGCTAAGTAGTGAACTAGTGATTCTGCTTTAAACATGCAGCTAAACAATTCTCAAAGATGTCTCAAATTAGCAAGCGTCCATTGAAACTGGGAAATTCACATCTGATAAAATTCAGATATTCAAAAACCACTTCTTAGTGGATGTGACATTGAGAACAAGAGGCACAGATTTTCCCACCAGCAGAGACGGGAGGAGGATGCAGGCCATGGTGCTGTCTGTCATCTCAGTGTTACCACGTAATAATCCCAATGTTTTTCCCCAACCCCACCTTTGCAGGAGGAGCTAGCGAACACTATTTCCCAACTCATCCATGTTGTTAACAACTCAGAGGCTCGTAAGTCCTGATATTTTCATGACTTTCAAAACTTCCTTTTTCATCGGATTTGGTAACTTGCCTAGGAAATCTAGTCAATATTGTTTCTTCTACCTTCAAAGTTTCAGTTTTCCAGTGTGCTAGTTTAACCTGAACCTAGTGTTGATACTGTGTAGACATCAGGCAACAAGCTGTTCCCGTTTAAAAGCTGTGATGAACATAGATACTGACTTGGTAAGAGGGTGAAAGAAGTATCTTGTGGAGAATCATGTTTGACATCTCAAAGATTTCAAAAAAATGTTCTTAGAAATAACAGACCTCCAGTATCTCCAGATCCTGAGTTATTTTAACACCGTTACAGGCTGTGTATGCATGTGCCAGTGTTTTCAGTAACCTCTGGGTGCCAGGATTATCCTCCCCCAGGCTGGAGCCATCACTGGTAATAAACTATAAAGAAACTCCTCTTTACCAAAAAGAAGACAAAGGGAGAAATCAATTAAAATATTTCTGAAACAGTCTGCCTTTGATGGCTTACAAAGGAAGAAAAAGACAGCAGAATTCATTTGTTCTTAGCACTCCTCAGAACAAAATCATCCTTATGACTGATGACCCTCAACAATTCTCCAAATTTTAGCTGACTCATAATGAACAAAATTCTACGTATGATACATAGTATGGGTTTGCCTATATCAAGGAAGAGTTGTGCAAAAAGAAGTAATACAACAACAAAAAAGATATCAGCAAAAATTATTTTTCGGCCGGCCCTGTGGCACACTCAGGAGAGTGCAGCACTGGGAGCGCAGCAAAGCTCCCGCCACGGGTTCCGATCCTATATAGGACTGGCCAGTCCGGTCACGAAAAAGACAAAAAAAAAAAAAAAAATTATTTTTCAATGAAAAAATGCTAGTTTTTNCGAAAAAAAAAAAAAAAAAAAAAAAAAAATTATTTTTCAATGAAAAAATGCTAGTTTTTTGGTTCAGAAGAGAAAAGTAGAATGTTTTGTGCTCTAGCTCACACAGACGACACCTAACATCCTACAAAAAAGCTGAGTTTCTGCATGGATTCCATAAGCATTCATCAGAATTGATGACTCTTTTGGACTGATTGTTAGGTACAGGTGTGGTGGGAAGGGGCCAGTAGATGTGGATCAGGGAATCTTTTGATTTTAATAGAAACATGGCTTTGCAGTGGATAAAGAAAATGCTTCAGAGAGCATTCTAATTGAACCTTAAGAAATATCAGTAATAACCAGCCTTCTTGTTGTTATTGATATGTTTTTATATAAATGTAAAAGAAATTATTGGGCATATTTAATTATTGGTGAAATTTTCTGACTGCCCAAGAATTTTTGAGAAAAGTAAAAAATAATACTAGCTTTTTTTCATTATTTTCTTGCTATATGGTAATATGTTACCATGGACACCAAGCATTCAGAGCCTTTTCTTCACTGCAGAACACCTGTTCATTCAGACCTTCTGGCAAACCATGAACCGAGAATGGCAGGGAATTGACCGGCTGCGCCTGGACAAGTACTACATGGTAAGCTCAACGTGCCTTCTTTCACATCTACTTCAAACACTTGTGTGAAGAAAAGCATGTTCTGCGTCCTTCAGACAATGGAAGGGCTCATTTGTGAGGCAAAGCAAGCTGCAGGTGAGCATAGTAGAGGGCAACGTGAGCATTAGACAGCACTTGAACGGGCTCTAGAAGGCTTCTCTGTTTCAACGTGAGCATTAGACAGCACTTGAACGGGCTCTAGAAGACTTCTTGGTTTCAATGTGAGCATTAGACAGCACTCGAATGGGTTCTAAAAGGCTTCTCAATTTCAGCGTGAGCATTAGATAGCACTCAAACGGGCGCTAGAAGGCTTCTCGGTTTCAACTCTTTCGCCAGTTGGGGATCATAAGTAAACATTTTTTGTTCTAGAAGTTAAATATGATTATTGTGGATATTTTTTCACTTTGGGGATCCAAGCACCACCAATTTAATGGGTCTCCTGATTCTGCTAAGCTGATTAATATTTCTTTCTTTCTCTTTGTAATAAAAATCTGTCTCTTTAGCTGATCCGTCTGGTCCTAAGGCAGTCCTTTGAAGTCCTGAAGCGAAATGGCTGGGAAGAAAGGTTGGTAAACTCTTTGAGTTAGCATTTGATGGCCTTAAAACTTAGAAAGTAATAGGATTTTTTCAAGCTTTTCAGTTAATCAACAAATGTGAATTGCCTAATCTATGCCTACAACTCTATAGAGTACTATGGGAAGCAAAACATATTCTAACCCATAGGAAATGTAAAATCCAGTAGAGGGGCATAGAATAGTTAAGCACATATGACAATTAACATTTTTTATACTGACTTAAGTGATTGCTTTTTTCCTTGTCAAACTTTTTTTAGCCTTACATTGACTGTTGTGCAGTGTAGGCATTAGACCAGGTATTTTTGTTTTCTCTTGGGAAAGAGAGAAGTGTTGATGTGCTGTCATTAAAAGAAACGTGTTTTTTTTTTTCTTTAGCCAGATCAAACTTTTTCTAGATGTCTTGATGAAGGAGATCCTGTGTCCTGAGAGTCAGTCTCCTAATGGAGTGAGATTCCACTTCATTGATATTTACCTGTATGAACTATCCAAAGTGGGAGGGAAGGAGGTAAGCAATGGTCAGACCACAGACCCTCATCGGAGCTGTTCATGAGATGCTATGTGTAGGCACTTGGCATCACCAGGGACAGTGGCAGCATGAATTGCTTCAGCTTCTTGAGAGAGGCTTACTTAGAATTGAAAGCAATCTGCTGAGTCCAATAAAGAATTCAATAACACGGAGAAATGCTCGGGATATATAGAGTTTTTAAGAAGCAGTAAAAAATAAAGGCAGTAGACAAAAGCTGTACAAATAATATGGCTTTTTTTAGTATGTGAGTGATTATCTGTATTTGGGAATATGAACAATTTTTACTTTTTTCTTTCACAGGTATTGTACAGAAAGCATGTTTTATTGGGTTTTGGGTTTTTGTTTTTTGTTTTTTTAATTAAAGATGTAAATGTTATATTAAAAACAGTAATTCCTCCGTCTTAAACTTTGAGAGAGTAGCCATGTAGAACTTCTCATAGAGGAAGGAGCGTGTGCATTATAGGATACAGGATAGCACTGGCTGGATCGGGTACTTTTCTTTGGGTCACTGCACTAAGATACCCAAGTGGCTGCAGGACGGCCGTGACCTTGAGCCTGGCTCCAGGCATCTGGGCAATTTCCACGGAGTATGCTTGGGGCTGCGTGAGACAAGTATGATTCAGTCTGATTCAACCTATGTGAGAAATACAGATGGTTCCTTTCTCAAGGACCTATCAAGAAGAAGAAAAGGCTCTGTTTTTCATCATTTTTTTCCCATTTTATGTCTAAATTACAGCTTTTGGCAGATCAGAATCTCAAGTTTATTGATCCATTCTGCAAAATTGCTGCCAAGACTAAGGAGTAAGTGCTCATATGTTTGTTTTTACTGCTTCATTTGGTACTTAATTATAGGGAGCTTGCTGTGGAAGCACGATGCAGGGTACCTAGGATGACTATCCAGAGCCAAGAGTGGTTGAATTCTGAATTCCCAGTAACAGGGCATTTGGAGCTCCGAGCAATGATTTGGCTTTTCTAGTTGTGGGGTTTGACCCAGTTGTTGCAGGAGTGCCTCCCCACCCACCCAAAGTTCTGTCTGCCGTATGTCCCAGGGCCTCTGTCATGTGGCGCTGAGGTGTTTCCTCGCAGCTGTGGTAGATCACACAGAAGTGTTGTAGGGACACTGGCGTTTGCTGACTGGTTGGCACCACCTGGGTGTTGGGCAGCTATGCTGCCTCCCTGTCCACTTCTAGTCTCCTGCATGCTCTCAGTTGCAAGGTCACACCATTTGTTTTAATCACATTCTCTCCACTGTGCTTCCATCCTCAGCCACATGCTGGTACAGACAATAGCCAGGGGTGTCTTTGAAGTCATTGTAGATCAGTCTCCTTCTGTACCCGAAGAGGCAGTGGAAGAACAGGATGTGAAAGTGAGTGGCAGTGACCGCTCTGAAGGAGAGCCGCCTGGAGACGTGGTGACGTGGAGCAGAGCTGTCAGCAGGAAGAAGGCAGGTAGGAGCCTCCTCGGGTGGTCTTTCCTCTTCACACAAACACTTCTTAACACTGCTGGCATCTTACCGAATGCAACCTGGTGCCGACTCATGGAAAGGGCTCTGCCTTGAGCCGTCCCCAGAGAGGAGACAGTGTGTCAGATGCCCGTGCCTGTGGGGTTCAAGAACTAGTCACATGTGGCTTGCACACATTTCTGTATCTCCAATTGTTGTACCTTCTGTACTGTGTCTGCTTTTGCTTTGAGGGTGTCTTATGTGTCGTGTTGTGGTATTTGAGGTATTTAAGCACTCAAGTGTGGATCGTGCCTGTAGGGGTGCTCCATGCAGGGGATGTGCTGTGCAGCTCCACAGGGGCATGTGTTTCTCTCTATAGCCCTTTCTCAACTCACAGCTCCCTCGGTGTTCTTTTTCTCTCAACGTTTGAACACCTATCGTGGACCGACGCTTTACATCCATGCAATTTCGTGTAGTATGTGCATTTGAAGTTACAGGTCCATGAAAACTCCCGCAATGGTTTATGGTGTCTCAGTGTGCAAAATGAGGTGGATGGTTAGGTCAGAGTTTACCACGCTTTTGAAGTGTTATAAAGCCATGAGAAGCAAAGTTTTCAAAAACTGATGACCAGAGGAAATTTTATAAAAAAATTTTTTAAAAGCAGGACACAAAACTGTATGTAAAAAGAGCCTGATTTATATTTTTTTTTTTTAAAAAAAAAAAAAAACTGATGACCAGAGGAAATTTTATAAAAAAATTTTTTAAAAGCAGGACACAAAACTGTATGTAAAAAGAGCCTGATTTATATTTTTTTTTTTTAAAAAAAAAAAAAAACTGATGACCAGAGGAAATTTTATAAAAAAATTTTTTAAAAGCAGGACACAAAACTGTATGTAAAAAGAGCCTGATTTATATTTTTTTTTTTTAAAAAAAAAAAAAAACTGATGACCAGAGGAAATTTTATAAAAAAATTTTTTAAAAGCAGGACACAAAACTGTATGTAAAAAGAGCCTGATTTATATTTTTTTTTTTTAAAAAAAAAAAAAAACTGATGACCAGAGGAAATTTTATAAAAAAATTTTTTAAAAGCAGGACACAAAACTGTATGTAAAAAGAGCCTGATTTATATTTTTTTTTTTTAAAAAAAAAAAAAAACTGATGACCAGAGGAAATTTTATAAAAAAATTTTTTAAAAGCAGGACACAAAACTGTATGTAAAAAGAGCCTGATTTATATTTTTTTTTTTTAAAGATAACCGGGAAGGGGATCTTAACCCTTGACTTGGTGTTGTCAGGACCACGCTCACCCATTGAGCTAACCGGCCATCCCTATATGGGATCCGAACCCACGGCCTTGGTGTTATCAGCACCGCACTCTCCCAAGTGAGCCACGGGCCAGCCCCTGATTTATTTTTAAATATATGTGCCTTAGAAAATCTAGGATAGATCAAAATGTTAACAGTTAGCCCTAGGTGGCAGAATGATGGGTGATTTATGTCTCCTTTGTACTTTTCTCAATTTTCCTAATTTTCTACAATGATCATGTGTTATGTTTTAATCAGGAAAAAAACAAGTCTTTAAAAGAAAGAAGTGTTCTTATTTTGAATGCGATATAGACCACAGAGTGAACTAATGACCTCGAGCAGGTTTTGTGTTGTCACAGGAGTCGGCTCTGGATGCCTTCTACTTGCCACAAGACAGTTTCACTCTTCCCTGTGCAGTTGCACACACTCCCTCCCAATTTCATTCATCAGATGTCTATAGAGCACCTATACCTGCATGTGCACCTGCATCATGCTGGGCCTGCCCCACCTTCCCCGGCCATGCCTCACACCACACCACTGATGAGTCTATAGGGTTCCAGAAACAGTACAAGTTTTAAAAATTTGTGAGTTCTCATTAGTAATTTTCACTTGCTTCACAGGCTTTAATGCTCTTTGGATTATTTTTTAAATGCTAAAGTTTGCGTTAATATTAGCTTGTATATCCAGAGGAGGCCTCATGAAAAGTTAGTGTACTAGGGACTGCCTCTGTGAGTCCATCCTCCTCCTAAAAGTCCAGAGCAGCACGAAGCCTTGGGCTGCTTGATCGAGTCCCTAAACTCAAGAGCGTCCCCTTCACCTCCACTGCAGCCTTTACGGTGTGTGCGATAGGGAAACATCGAAGGTAGCAGAGAATTCTGTGGTTTTGTCTGTGACCTAATTATGGGCAGAAAACACAAAATGTGTGCTTTCTCCCAGACTTGTCCTCATTCCCAGGGACTGACCACTAAAACAGCTTTGGGAAATTGTTAAGTATTTCCAGCGTTCTTCTCTTTCAAGGAATTTTTTTTTCTTGCTAAAAGACACCTAATTAGTAGTGGCTCCTTTAGAAGTAGTCATTGCTATGTATTTGATATGTCAAGAATTCTGTCTTTGGATGTGTTTTCACAGCACTTGGCAAATATCACTCCAGAAAAGATGAAATGAGTGATGAAGANCACTGATGAGTCTATAGGGTTCCAGAAACAGTACAAGTTTTAAAAATTTGTGAGTTCTCATTAGTAATTTTCACTTGCTTCACAGGCTTTAATGCTCTTTGGATTATTTTTTAAATGCTAAAGTTTGCGTTAATATTAGCTTGTATATCCAGAGGAGGCCTCATGAAAAGTTAGTGTACTAGGGACTGCCTCTGTGAGTCCATCCTCCTCCTAAAAGTCCAGAGCAGCACGAAGCCTTGGGCTGCTTGATCGAGTCCCTAAACTCAAGAGCGTCCCCTTCACCTCCACTGCAGCCTTTACGGTGTGTGCGATAGGGAAACATCGAAGGTAGCAGAGAATTCTGTGGTTTTGTCTGTGACCTAATTATGGGCAGAAAACACAAAATGTGTGCTTTCTCCCAGACTTGTCCTCATTCCCAGGGACTGACCACTAAAACAGCTTTGGGAAATTGTTAAGTATTTCCAGCGTTCTTCTCTTTAAAGGAATTTTTTTTTTCTTGCTAAAAGACACCTAATTAGTAGTGGCTCCTTTAGAAGTAGTCATTGCTATGTATTTGATGTGTCAAGAATTCTGTCTTTGTATGTGTTTTCACAGCACTTGGCAAATATCACTCCAGAAAAGATGAAATGAGTGATGAAGGAGAAAGAGATGACTGTGGGACCACTGAGGACACTGGACCACTTCTCCAGGTGGGTGGTGGTTGTTGCTTTTTATAAAGTATGGATTTGCTCTGGGGTGGCCTGGCTAGAGAATTAGGGTCAAAGCTAATTAAGTGTGAGGCCTGAAGTGTAAAGTCCTTTTTAATCCCTTTCAGTCACTAATGCTGTCCTTAGAATGAGCTTATTGGAGACAAATAAATTTAAACATAATGGAATTTTGAAAGATATTAGTCCTCATTTTGAATTGCTAAGGTCTGTTCAATTCCATGCAACAGAGCCAGCACTGTTCAAACAAAAAAGTTTACTGTGTTACCAAATGCAGATTAGAAATCTAGATTAAATTTTAAAAGAAGCATACATAGGTAAATTTTATGTGTATTCTACCACAATTTTAAAAAAGGAAGAAGTACTGACCTATCTTCTCCCCAGAGTAAATAGAATGTGAATTTTTCAGACAGTGTTTGTTACGCTTGTGGTTACCAAGTCTTAGCACATGCTTATTTAGATCGTTCTCTTGCCGAATGCTTCCAAAATCCCGTATCAGTGGCTTTTCTCTTATGAGTAGATGTAGGTGTTCAAGTCGGGCAGTGTAATTTGCTAAATGCTTATGTGTCGTTTCTCTTCTTGCCTAGTTTGACTATAAGGCTGTGGCTAATCGACTCCTGGAAATAACCAACAGGAAAAACATCCCTCCCTTCAACAGGAAGCGTCTCTCCAAACTAATCAAAAAGTAAGTGGGCGAGAGGGTTCCTCTGGTTGCTGTTCCTGTTCAGTTCCAGTGTTTTTACTTTTCTCATGATGTAGGACGAGCTTTCTGTATGCTTGCCTCTTCCTCTTGACTTTGTCCTGTGATATTTTTGTTAACAGCAACATTAACACATACATAAGCTGAAAGGTGTAATAAAAGCGTATACCCCACCCCTCAAGCTCCATCCTTCAAATGCAGCCACACTTGGCTCTTTTAGCTGTTTTGTAATGATGTAAAAACATGTCTATTAATGTCTCAAATTACTAGAAGAGGAAATAGTGATGTTAATCTCCTGTTTAGGTGTCATCTCTTGGTGTGCTATTAAGATAGGTGGGGGTTTAGTTATTTACCCATTTCTCACTCCCCTGTGTGATTATGCCAGAAGTGTTAGTTACTTCAATAGTCAGTGTTGATGTCATTATGATCACAGTGACATAATGAAGTGTGATTCATAGTAGAGCCCCATGGTGTATTGTGACTGGTGACAAATGGCAACTGTCTGATCACACTTTGCAAGAGCTGCACACTGTTCTAAGCACTTAAAAATGTACGTATGCTACATTTTTATGTTAAAGAAGAAAACACCTGGAAGGTGGCTTCCATAACTTTCCCCATCACGAGCTGGGTTGGCGAGGGCATGGGGAAGGTAACGAGCTTGCCCGAGTCACCACTGTCAGGTGTGGGGCTGGGCCGGCCTTCCCTGTTCTCTGCCTCCCACGCACACACGGCCTGTCAACACTTTCCATCTGTCCTCATGCACCAAAATTGTGTGAAGCAAAATGCCTTTTGGCATTTTTCCACTGGAGAATTAAATAAAAGCAGAGATGTAAGCTATTTCTGTCTTCAGAAATAAGAACAAAACCTAATTTCTTGGTTTTGTTTGTGCATGGAAGACAGCATGTGTGGCCTGTGTCCTTGGGGTGTTGAGGGTGGTTCTCCCCTTTCTGCCTTTGCCTCACGCCAGCTCTCCTTGGTGGGCTGCTTCTCCAGTCTCCCTCCCAAGAGGGGC